TTTGGGACTCCAGCATGATACATGAGTGGAGAGGTGTCTGTTCCTCTTGTTGAACTTGCTCTTCTGTCTTACAAGAAAAAGTAGGCTCTCTGTGTTCCCTTACAGTATTGGTTAGTATGTCTGGTTATGAATAATTTATAGAATGAGTTAGGGGTGGCTTAGGAAGCCCAAAGACCCAAATATAGCTGGGGTCTTAGAAGGGACTATACCCAGGATCCAAAAGGTTCGGAGACCATTTCTGTTGCTCTCCACACACCTGATTTATCTTCATCTCAAAAGAAATCCCTTCTCTGCTTCTCGACCCCACTGTGGGTGGAAGATGGCCGCCCAGCGACATGGAGTGTGTGTGTTAGTAGGGCAGACACATGCAGACATCTCCCCTAGGTCCCATTTCACAGTTTCCAGAAGCGAGACTCTTAGGTGGACCAAGTAAGCATCCCTGGTGCAAAGAGCTGCACAGTACAGACCGAGTCTTTGGTTCAGCATCTGGATAAACATCTTCAGATGGCATCCACTGCATCAACCCTTTACGTATTCATTTAAAATATACTCATAGACTGCCTACTGTGTGCTAGGCATTATTCAGGAAGACAAGGGTCAAGCCATGAACAAGTCAGTCAAAGTCCCTGCCCTCATGGCCTTGGCCATCAGCTACCTTTTCTGTGTTTCCACTTTGTGACAAACTTACAGCTAGTCCATTTACCAACTCTGTTTCTCTCTCTCTCTCACTCTCTTTTCCTTTCTTGAAGCTATGTTTATTGAGACTGAGGGAGGGAGAGAGAGAAACATTAATCAGTTGCCTCCTGTAAACACCCAACCTGGAGTTGAACCCATAACCCAGGTATGTGCCCTGACTGGGAATTAAACCTGCAGCCTTTTGGTGGACAGGATGATGCTCCAACCAACCAAGCAGCCTCGACAGGCCTCTTGTTTCTGTTTATTCTTTCCTTTTTCTTTGGTTTCTTTCTCAATAGACATTTATTGAACTCCCACTATCTGCAGACACTGTGCTTGTTTATGTGGGGAGTTGCAAGCATAAAGTCTCATTTCGTATGGTGGTATTTTCAAAATGTATTAACTCACGATTCAGCTCATGATTCTGAATTTGAAGCCTTAGTCATAATGTGTTTTGCTATATATGGGATAGTGTCTTCCTTAGGCAATACATTTGCAACAAACTTGTGTTATTTTGAAAATATTACTGTTGGTCTCCTATGCTTAGGAGATGCTGCTGGGGTGGAAGAAAGTTGGGAGCCTTAGTCAGGCGACTCTAACTATTTCTACCAAGAATAAAATCTCAGGTCTTGTTCTGCTGACAGAGAAAGATGAGCGGCCTGATGTATTATTTCCCGCAATTCTGTCGCCACTAATGGTTAGTGTCAATATTTTTCTCAGGCCAATATTTATTATCTAACATTTAAATTCTTATTTGGAAAAACCGTGGTTTTCATTCTTTTAAAAAATGTTTTTATTAATTTTTTTAGAGAGAGAGGAAGGGATAGAGAGATAGAAACATTGATGTGAGAGAGATACATCAATCAGCTGCCTCCTGCACACCCCCCACTGGGGATGGAACCCACAACCCAGGCATGTGCCCTGACCGGGAATGGAACCAGGACCTCTTAGTCCGCGGGACAATGCTCATCCACTGAGCCACACCAGCCAGCTCCATTCTTATTTCTAGCAGTGATGCTCTGAGTTTTGTGCCCGTCTTCTCATCTTCAAGTCCAATTATCTAATGTTTCTTCTTTTCTCTGGCCCACACATTCAATAACATCAACAGAAAAACACCTTGCAGCATTTTCTTTGAGATGTTTCCCATGCTCATATTGTTTCCATTTAATTCATGCTTTTATTATCTTGCTTGTAGAATTAATTTTTTACCTGATCTGCTTATCTATAAATTCTCCCCCCTTTCTGCTCCTACATGCACATCACCACCGGGTGCATTTCTCTGCTGCCTAGAAACCTTTGGTGGCTTCATGTGACCTTTAGGATGGAGTTCCAACTTTCCCTCGGGCATTTAAGTTATCCCCAGTCTGGCTCTGGGCTCTTTTTGTCTGAGCTTTCTTTCCACTTGTTTCTAATTTGGCCCCTTAGTGCTGTTTTTGTTTGTTTGTTTGTGTTTTAATTGGCCTCTGATACATTTTGTCTGTTGGGCCTTTGCTTATGCTTTCTGACCCTTCCCTACAATGTCCTCCCCTCTCCTAATATAAACAACCCCCTACTTTAAGACTCTTATATCTGTCCTCAGACTCTGTTCTGACCCTACCCCATGCACAAAGATGCTGCTGACCTCTGACCTCCTCAGCACTTTCAAGCCCACTCTTAGGCACACTGGCAACCACGGTTATACTGGTTAACATTTTGGAGAGCAGGAGTCAGATTTTGTGTGTGTGTGTGTGTGTGTTTCCAGCAGCATCTAACAAGTGTTTCTCAACTGCGGCTGCCCCCTGAGTATCACTTACGGAGATTTAGAAGCAGACCAGAAGCGGGTAGGGATGGGCGCAGGAACCAGGGACCAGTGAAAGCTGTCTCAGTGGTGATGCACAGCGGAGTAGTGAGTACAGTCTCGCGGTGAACTCTTTGGACCCACCCTAGAAGACAGCCAGCTTGAGCCCTCTTCGTGTCACGTCTCTGCCTGGAGGATTCAAAGCGACCCTTTATAAGACTTGAGTAAACATGGCTTGTTCAAGCAAATATGAGCATTCATTATGTGCCAGGCACGGGTCTGGGTGCTGAGCTCACTGCAGTGAACAAAACATGTCCCTGCTGTCCCGGAGCTTCTGTTCTTGGCCATGGGAAGACAGACCATAAATAAATAATGTCAGGTAATGATGATAAATGCTGTGGAGAAAAACGAAGCAGGATAAGTGGGCAGAGAGAAAAGCAGCACTTTCATATCGGCTGGTTTCAAAGATGTTCCCTTTCTGCCTTAAATCAGCCAGCGCTTTAAAACCCAGCCTCCTCTGACTCAAGTCTGGGAGCCAGAGCGGCGGGCCAGCCAGGATTGAAGTAGGAGCTCTTGCTGTCTGCTGCTCTTATCTATAAGCAGAGGGCCCAGCAGTGTCCTGTGGAGCCAGAGGGACCCCAGAGAGAGGAGGCTGGAGGGAAGCTGGGGAGGGTGTGAGGGTGGGGTCCTGTAATAAGAAACAGCCAGGGTGCTGTGGATTCACACCTGGCCTGGGACCAGGGATCCACCTATGAGCACTATTCAGGATAGTATGTCAGCTCTCAGTAACCAGTTTCTTGTTTGTTTGTTTTTTTTAATCTTCACTTGAGGCCATTTTTGCATTTATCTTCAGACAGAGCGTGAGGGAGAGTGGGGGAAAGAGAGAGAGAAACATTGACGTGAGAAAAACACATCGAGTGGTTGCCACCCACACGACCCCAACTGGGGCCGGGGACAAACTGCAACTGAGGTATATGCCCTTAGCGGGAACCGAATCCCGGACTGTCTGGTCCACGGGCCCATGCTCTAACTGCTGAGCCAAACTGGCCAGGACTCAGTAACCAGTTTTATATTGTGGTTGTCCCCCTCTTATGCTAAGGATTATAATGCAATTCTCATCATTTTAAAATAGCCTAAACTTTCTGTTTTAAAATGTTTCTCTGTGTCAATGAACATTCTCTGTAGCTGTGAAGTGGATGTTTATTGAAATGAGATGTCAGCCCTGGCTGGTTTGCTCAGTGGTTAGAGCAATGGCTCATGGACCGAAGGGTTTTTGGTTTGATTCCCCGTCAAGGGCATGTACTTGGGTTGCAGGTTTGGTCTCCAGTTGGTCGGGTTGTGTGCTGGAGGCAACCAATGGATGTGTTTCTCTCCCTCCCTCGCTCCCTTCCACTCTTTCTAAAAATCAATGGAAAAAATATCCTCAGGCGAGGAAAAAAAAAGAAATGAGATGCCTGTTTCTTTAATAATATGCAACATGCATTTCTTTGATAGGTTGGAAAGCATGGCAGATCTTAGAGCAAATGTATATTTAAGGAAAAGGAGGGAAGGCTTCATCTGGAGGACGTTTTTCTGTGACCCTTTATTTCAGGTGCCCCTCCCAGAAGGTCAGTTCTTGAAGTGGGTGGCCCCCCTACTGAGGGATACTGCCTCCTAGCTGGAGATGTGGTGAAGGTCTGTGTGCTGTGTGTGCCTGTATGTAGCTGTTTTAGTAACGGGTGTATCAATATCTCCATGCGGACACCTCAAGAGAAAGGTACGGGAGGCTGAGCTCAGGGAGAGAGGCTTGACTCTAGGACAGAAATGAAATCTTAAGGAGACAGACTTGCATTGTCTGAGCCACAGAAATGGTAACTTGAGCAATGAAATGGAAGATCGCGCATCTGTCGCCTGTCGGTAAACTGGGATTGGTAAAGCTGTTTCACTCGGGTTGCCAGGCACGTCTGGGGAGGGAAGATAACCATGGAGCAAGCCCTTCACACCGAGGTTGGGAATTCCATTTCTAGAGCACCGAGGTTTCCTTTCGCCATCCCTTTCTGCAGTGACTGAACGCAAGGCACATCCCCTTTGCTGCCATCGTTTTGTTCCTACACACAATCCAAGGAAAGCTAGCGGCGGAGCTCAGGCCCTGGGCGTAGAGGGGGAGCTCCCTCCGGCAGCAGGCTCCGGCCTCTGCCCGCCCCGCCCCCCGCCGGCGGCGCCCCAGCCCGCTCCAGCCGCGCACGCCGCAGCCAGGCGGAGGGAGCGGGAGCCGGAGCGAGCGCAGCAGGGGCTGGGCCGGCGGCGCGGGCGGCTCTCACCGCCCAGAGGCTCCCTCCGAGGCCCGGGGGAGCGGCGGTGGGGGTGGGGCACGGAGAGGGGGCGGGGAGGCGCCGGGAGCAGCTGCGCGGCGGGTCTCCAGGGGGAGCCAAGGTACATAGGCGGACCCCGCATCTCCCAGAGCATCCTTTCCCCGCTGGACCCGCCCGTCAGTAGCCTTGCTCGCTGATGCTCTTGCCTGGTGTGACTTCTTTGTGCTGTGTTTTCTGCCCGCGCCTCATCTCTGCAGGACCAGTTTGTCCTTCTTCAGGCTATAAGAAGGCAGATGATGAGATGTCCCGGGCCACGTCTGTTGACCAACTGGAGGCACCGGCCCGCACCATTTACCTCAACCAACCGCATCTCAACAAATTCCGTGACAACCAGATCAGGTAGGAGAAGGCCGACCAAGGAGCAGTGAATTCACAGCTGGGATGGGGCTCACCTTCCTCTTGTTAGCTTCTCCACGCACCTAGCCAGCCCCCACCCCTGTCCGCTTCCCCCAGCCCCTGTCACTCTCCTTCCCCTTCCCCTAGCCCCGGGCAGTCTACACCTGCATTTTCAGAGGGGTCATATGTACATAGCCTTTACTTTTCTCTCCACTGCATCTGTTCCTTGCTTAGATGTGTGAGCCCTGAGGAAGTTTTTATTCAAAATGAGGTCTTATATTTTCATCCCTGAGCTCCATTCCAAGAATCCACCCCCACCCCTGTTTCAATCCAGTTGATAGCTCTTCTTAGCAATTTACAGACCATGATATGGGGATCTGCTTTATAAAGGAATCCCACAGGTCACAAGGACTTACATTAAACTCTCACTAGTTCAGGACATTTGTTAAGAGGTCTTTGTTTGCTGGGAAACTTTGTCCAGAGTTAGCAGAAAGATGGATGGAAGCTAGTGTGTGTCTACTTTTTCTTGCCCACTGTGTCGGGTGCTTTAGCTATACTGGCTTTATAAATCCTCACAACCTCCTGAAGAAGGCATTATTACAATGAGATCAGGAAACTGAGATAGCAAGATGTTAAATAATGTATCTATGGTCATATAGCTACTGAATGGCAGAGCTGGAAATAGGAACCGGCTTCTCTGACTGCTGAGGCTCAAATTCTTTCTGCTGTGCAAAGCTAGATCATTAGGCACAGGTGTTAATACGTTTTCAAATTTCATTAAATTTTCAAGCTTAGATAACATTATCTCTGGGAGTGACTTCAGAGGATGTAATGCTGTGGGTGGCGCAGAACACCAAGTTCAGGTGTAGAGAAGTTAAGTGATTGGTCAGGTTACACATAGATTATTGACAAACCTGAATTCCAGCTCAGTGTTCTTTCTAGAAAGCTCTGGCTGAAACTTCGCTGTTGTTGTATGTTTAAGTATTCCACAAGTATAGCACTTGTACAGGCTGCCTAACCTGACAGCCTTATGTAGAAACGTTTGGCTGGTGGACACTAATGTAGCGCGATAGGATTTGGAATGGAATAATGGTACATATTATGTGGAGGTGATACCTTTATTTATTAAGGGAGTGTTAGATCATCTTGGCTTTATTTTGTGGTTTAAAACATTGGGACATGTTTTATACTTAAAAGTGTAGCTTAGAAGAATAGCTGAGGCCAAATTCAAATATTGAGTGGGCTTGGTTTAAGATACAGAACATCAACCACAATGAGTTACCACTTTACACAGTATAATGGCTCTAACCAAAAAGACAATAACAACTGTTGATGAGGATGTGGAGAAACTGAAATCCTCATACATTGCTGATGGGAATGAAATATGGTATAGCTACTTTGGATAACAGTTTGGCAGTTCCTCGAAAGATTAAATGTAAAGTTACCACATGATCCAGCAATTCTCCTAGATATAAATAACCAAGAGAAATGAAAACATGTCCACATAAAAACTGTACACAAACGTTCGTAGCAGCATTATTCATAATAGTCAAAAAGTGGAAACAATTCAGATGTCTATCAACTGATGCATAAATGAATAAAAGGTGGTATAGCCATACAATGGACTATTACTTGACCATGAAAGGAATGAAGTACTGATACATGCTACAATGTGGATGAACCTCGAAAACATGCAAAGTGAAAGAAGCCAGTAACAAGAAGCTTCATATTATAGGCATACCCCAGAGATTCTGTGGGATCAGTTCCAGACTACCACTGTAAAGTAAGTGTCACATTAAAGTGAGTCCTAATCATTTTGCTGGTGGAGGTTCTTGCCTTCAATTAGTAAAAAACAACATCTGCGAAATGCAATAAAGCTAAGTGCAATAAAATGAGGCGTGCTTGTGTGTGATTCCATTTATATGAAATGCCCAGATGAGGGCAATCTATTGACATAGTTTAGAGGTCCCTAGGTCTGAGTAAGGGGGAGCGACTGCTCATATGCATGGGGTTTCATCTGGGGTGATTGTCCCACAACTTGGTAAAGATATTTGAAATCATTTGGAATCTTGCACTGCTGGTATAGTTCCATTGCTTTATAGCTTCTCATCTGTGTTTTGATGGAATGACCTTCAAAAAGGTAAAAAGAAATTTAAAAAAATATATTAATACTGTATAAGGATATGAAATTGAAGAGTCACTCTTCTTTATAAACTTTAGGGTATTTTCATAAAATACTTTAAAAATGCTTCAGTAGTATTTTTGCTTAGTTCCTATTTCATTTTGGTACTCATTTATTTGGTACTCATGCTTCAAGTTGGTAGAATGAAATAAAGGTCTTTGTTTGTGCCTAAATTCTCTAGTTTCCATGGAAAATGAAGATTTTTGAAGGCCTTCGAAAAGGGGCCTCACAACCTGTTTGTAATCGAGACTCAAAGCTGATGTTTGAGGCTGATTTTATTATCAGTTGGAGAAACTTCAAGTGACTACCTGTTTTGCAGTGTGATTTGTATATTTTTGGGGTGGGGAGGAATTAATATGGGGATGTACGGTGAAGGCTGGCTAGGAATAAAGTAGGTAATATAAATTTTTCTATTTAAAGCCTTGTGTAAGTATATAATTGAATTGGTTGACATGTAGTAAATATTAAAATTTATAGAATTTCTGAGTTCATGTCTTATACTATGAGCATACATTTCAGAATGTACTGAAAAGGGTCCAAGAAATTAAAATGTGCCCCTTGCTGTTCTATAAAATGGCCTTTGAGTATTTGTTTTGCCTCAACTGCGTATTTAAATAGAATTGCTCATGGTCATGTGACTTATAGTTCATGAAGGGATTTATTAAGAAGCTTTAAGAATAAAGCTTCTTGGCATTATAGTTTCAGGGTTTTATAAAATGATGCACCACATTATTTTAGCACTTTAATATTGCTGAAGTCAAGTTTTATAAAAATATTTATTTAAAAAATAAGGCTTTTTATCTTGGCCATGAACGTTTGCTAAAAGTTGATAAAGCTATTCAAAGGAGTGTTTTCATAAAAGGGAGATGATAAAAGATTTTTTTTTTTAAATATAACTTTTCTTGAGAAAAGGTTAATGGAGTTTTATTGGAGGCTGGGCATGGAGTGTTTATCCCAGATTGTTTGCTTCTAAATTGAGCTTTTTGAAGAGAAGGGGCCAGGTGGGCCAGATGAGGCCCGGGCAGCCCGTGGAATCATCGGGAAGCTGTCCCCCCCGGGGGCTGCCCTTGCTGGAGCAGGCCTCTTGCTCACCTTCCCTACTCCAGGCCCTTTCTGGCTCGGATCCCCGAGGGTCGTGGCAGTTGCTGGTGTCTACCTTCATGAGCAACTAGCATTTCGAATTCAGGAAAGATGTCAAAGTTTGCTAAAGGTGGAGGTGGGGTTGGTGTGGTAAATTTAGGACAGGGATTGAAGGTCCAGGGTCATGTTTGGAGCAGTGTATCCAAGAAAGGGACTGGGCCTGGTGAGTAGGAGGGAGAAGGTCACTGTGAGGTTGACTGTGGCCTTGTCACCCCCAGGGGAATGCGTCACCTGGTAACTCCACATTCCAAGCAATTCCTTGAAATTCTGGGAGTGTCTACTCCATGGAAGTGGACGTCTCTCCAAACCTTGTTCTTGTTCTTGACACTGAAACTTAATATGCTTGATCTGAAGCTGTGGCAGGTTGAAGTTTTCCATTACCGAAGCCAAAAAATTTCATTATCCTAATCATGGAGAACTGTGACATGGTCTTTTTCTCCTTGGCATTGATTTTCTAGGGTCTTAACTGGGAGGACAATAATAACTCTCTTCATCCGGTAGAAACGGTGATTAATGGAATATCGCAAAGTGCATACACCTGTCCAGGATGGCGTATATGTCTACCTAACAAGGTCCCTTTTTCCTGAAGCATACAATATCGTCTTTTCAATATTTTTACAGATGTATTGAAATATAGTTCACCCATCTAAAGCATACAGTTCAGTGGTTTTTAGTATATTCACAGACTTGTATAAACATCGCCACAGTTAATGTGAGAACATTTTCATGGCTTCCGGAAGAAGTCCATGCCTTTTGCTGTCATCTCCCTGTACCCCCGCCCCCCCGCCAGCCTCAAACCACTGCTCTACTTCCTGTCTCTATAGAGCTGCCTGTTTTGAAGCTTTCATATGAATTATATCATTTCATTTTAAATTAAATACTGTATTAGATGCATATGCAAACCTTGCTATTTAAAGGCACCTGGTAGCGAATCTTTAATTTTGTGCATCTAAAATAAAAAAAAAAGTGTTAAGTTAAAAATTTTTTTTTCTTCTAGAAAATATCTTGAAATAACCTATGGGGCAATATTTTTGCAATCCTGAACAGGCATATGCTGTTTTTTTAATGTGATTATCATACGCCATTTAAAACAGTGACTTTCAAGGCTGTGGGGCCTTTTCTTGTGTTTGCAATGAGGTCTTCAAAGCAGGTTAGGAGGATTGATAGTAGTTTTGAATGAGTCATTGGTTTCAGGTGGGAGTTTTAACTAGCAAAAGACTTTATTAAAACAATGACTTGAATTTGGTCTGACTATTGCATTTCTTCAGGTTGGGTTGTCTTAAAGGAAAGTTGGTTTATAGGAATATTTTGGTGGTTTTGCCAAGATAAGTTTAAAATCGAGTTTTGCCTTTGCAGAAAGGAAACTGAGCACCGTGTGGCCAGCTTTACATTATCATTGTTTATTATTATTATTGTCGTTATTATTACTATTTTGGTTAATCATCACCCGAGGATATTTTTCCATTTAGTTTTAGACAGAGTGGAAGGGAGGAAGGAGTGAGAGAGATAAACATTGATGTGAGAGAGACACACATCGAGTGGTTGCCACCCACAAGACCCTAACCGGGGCCAGGGACAAACTGCAACCTAGGTACGTGCCCTTAGCGGGAACTGAACCTGGGATTCTCTGTTCCGCAGGCCGACGCTTTAACTGCTGAGCCAAACTGGCCAGGGCCACCAT